TGATGGGGGATCTTTACTCTAGCCCGAACTCGACAGAGATGAACTCTACTCTTGCTGCTCAGAGGAAGTTGCTGTTGGGTGAATTCCAGCTCGGTGCCCTAGCTCCCGAGCATGCCTCTTCTCTCGTCGGCCGTGCTTCAGAAACAAGAGGAAGGAAAGGAAGACCTTGGTGTGACTTTTGCAAAAAACTAGGTCACATTAAAGATAAGTGCTGAAAATTACAGGGTAAACCAACAGATAAAAAGAATTCCAGAAATGACACTCAGGGCAATATGGTCATTTTAGAGGAATCATCCCTTGCATCCACACCTACAGAGAGTTCTTCTTTCGGTCCAGCTTAGATGGAGGCTCTCCTGCAAACGTTTTCTCAGAAAGGTATTCTCGGTAATGCTTCCGTTGCTCAAAGAGATAATTGTTTACTCAGTTTATCTGCTTACCCTGTGAAAAAACAAATGTGGATTATTGATTAAGGGGGATCCGATCATATGACCGGAGATATTACACTCCTTCATCGGTACAATGAATAAGAAAATTTCTTCCATCAAGATTGTTGATGGAACCATTTCTAAAGTAGCAGGGGTTAGCTCAACCATTATATCACCAAATATGATATTGCAGTTTGTTCTTTATGTGCTAAATCTCGACTGCAATCTGCTATCTGTAAGAAAATTATGTAAAGACTTGAATTGTGTTATTAAAATTGATAGTGATTTATGTATTTTTCAGGACTTGGTCACAGGAACGATGATTGGTTGGGCTAAGAATGAATCAGGACTTTATCTTCTACCAGTTAGAAACTATCCTCGAAATGGATAAACTTTAAGTGCAGTATGTGCTAACTCAGTATCTGTAGGATGTTCTAATATTGACCAATATGTTATGTTATGCCATTATAGATTAGGATATCCAAACTTTATGTACTTAAAATAACTATTTTCTACTTTATTCAGAAATAAAAATTTGAGTTCATTTCAATGTGAAATATGTCAATTTTCTAAATATATCCGCAATTCATATCCCGGTATTACTTACTCACCATCAAAACACTTTGGATTGATTCATAGTGATGTCTGGGGATCGACACAGATAAAAAATGTTACTGGCACAAAATGGTTTGTATCCTTTATTGATAATCACATTAAAATAATCTGGGTCTATCTGATGAAAGAAAGATCTGAGGTTGGTCCAATCTTTCACAAATTCAACACTATGATTCAAACCCAATTTCAAACAAAAATACAAATGTTGAAAACTGACAATGCATGTGAGTATTTTGCATCCAATCTAGGAAAATTTCTTACTGATCAAGGCATTATCCATCAAATTTCTTGTCCTTACATACCTCAATAGAACGGTGTAGCCAAAAGGAAAAATAGACACATTCTTGAAGTATCCCGTTCACTTATGTTTACTACAAATGTTCCTAAATTCTTTTGGAGATGGACTATTCTCACTGCTACATGTCTGATCAACAGGATGCTCTCTCGTATCCTTAAGTTTAAAATACTTTATGATTTTCTTGTTCAAGCATTCCCAATATCACACATTCTTCACACAATTCCTTTTAAAGTCTTTGGCTGCTCTGTCTATGTTCACATTCACAGTCACCTCAGAGGAAAACTAGATTTTAGAGCCCTCAAATGTGTTTTTGTCGAGTATTCCACTTCTCAGAAAGGTTATAAATGTTTTTGTCCAATAATCCGCCGGTTCTATAACACTATGAATATCACTTTTTTTGAAAACCAACTCTTTTATCCCACTCTTGATATTCATGGGGAGACATTTAGAATTCAGGAATATCAATTGTGGGATGTGAACATACCTCCACTACAGATTCCATTAATAACTTCAGAAAAAGAACCTGTTCTTGAAACCACCAAAGAACTTGAACCCACCACAGAGACTGATAGCACATTACCTGCAGTTAGTAAGTTACATGTCTATACTAGGAGGAACAAAACTCAAGGTAAAGATAAAGTATTGGAGCCAGCTATACACTGTCATGACTCAACTCCTGAACCAAGCACCTAGAATAGCACAGGTAATGAGATCTCTGACTCAACTGTTGATATTGGTTTACCTATCGCTTTAGAAAAGGGTGTTCGTTATTGTACAGTGCATCCCATACAGGATTATGTCTCTTATGGCAAGCTGTCTTCAAAATATCATGCACTTGTGAGTAAGTTTGACAGTATCCCTCTTGAACCAAGAACAGTTCATGAAGCTCTCAAGATCCCTGAATGGAATACTGCTATCCAAGAAGAAATTATAGTTCGAGAAAAATGGGATATGAGAGTTATCTGATCTACCTTCAGGAAGACTCTTGTAGGATGCAAGTGGATTTTCACCACTAAGTACAATCCTAATGGTAGTGTAAGCAGCTACAAAGCTCGATTTGTTATTAATGGTTTACTCAATCTTATGGAATCGACTATCA